GTGGGCCTAAATCAAAACTGCACCTGAGAGATGGAGAAGGGGGAAGGGACTGAAGGCAGGTGTAAAGAGGAGGAGGGGGAGGAACCTGGGCTGTGCTGAGTTTGAGTGACTGGGGAACAGCAGGCCCTGACCGAGGACCGGTTTTCCACGCTGCAGAAAAGATGGTGGACTTTGGGCTGGGCGCGGTGGCTCAAGCCTGTAATCCCAGCACTTTGGGAGGCCGAGGCGGGTGGATCACAAGGTCAAGAGATCGAGACCAACCTGGTCAACATGGTGAAACCCCGTCTCTACTAAAAATACAAAAAAGTAGCTGGGCATGGTGGTGTGTGCCTGTAATCCCAGCTACTCAGGAGGCTGAGACAGGAGAATTGCCTGAACCTAGGAGGCAGAGGTTGCGGTGAGCCGAGATCGTGCCATTGCACTCCAGCCTGGGTAACAAGAGCGAAACTCCGTCTCAAAAAAAAAAAAAAAAAAAGATGGTGGACTTTGAGATGCTGGGTGGGCAGTTGGCTGGCTGAGATGCTGGCTGGGTCTAGGACTCAGAAGGGAAGTCTGAGCTGGAGCCTCAGGTAGTTGAGACCTAGAGTGTGGACAAAGAAGGATGAAGAGAAGGTGCAGAGTGAGGAGGGGAGAGAGGGAAGGTGGAGGGGAAGTAAGAGGCAGGTAGAGTGCGTGACAGCCTGACAGGTTCACCTTGCCTGCTGTCCAGAAAACCAACGCGCTGAAAACAGCAGGTTTTGCAGCAGAGAAAGAATTCAATTGGCCAGTCAAGAGAATGGAGGGAAGGTAATTCCCAAATCTCCCTCTGACTGCAGTGAGCCATGATTGCACCACTGTACTCCAGCCTGGGTGACAGAGTGTGTACCTGTCTCAAAAAAAAAAAAAAAAAAAAAAAAAAAAAATCCTGCGCCTCCAAGAATATTAGCAAATTGAATCCAGTGATGTATTTGAATAATTATACCTCATGACCAAATAAGAGTTAAGTATGCAAGGTTGGTTTAACATTAGAAAATCAATTACTGGCGCCGGGCACGGTGGCTCAAGCCTGTAATCCCAGCACTTTGGGAGGCCGAGGCGAGTGGATCACGAGGTCGAGAGATCGAGACCATCCTGGTCAACATGGTGAAACCCCGTCTCTACTAAAAATACAAAAATTAGCTGGGCATGGTGGCGTGTGCCTGTAATCCCAGCTTAGGAGGCTGAGGCAGGAGAATTGCCTGACCCCAGGAGGCGGAGGTTGCGGTGAGCCGAGATCGCACCATTGCCCTCCAGCCTGGGTAACAAGGGCGAAACTCCGTCTCAAAAAAAAAAAAAAAAAAAAAAAAAAAAAAAAAAAAAAAAAAAAGAAAATCAATTACTGTAACCTATCACATCGACAGGCTAAAGAAGAAAAGTCACATGATTCACACAATCATATTAATAGACACAGAAAAAGCATTTGACCAAATCCAATGCTTGTTCATGACAAAAACTCTAAACTAGGAATAGAGGAGACTTCTTCAATTTGATAAAGAACATCTACAAAAAACATTCAGCTGCCATCATACTTGGCAGTGAGAAACTACGCACTTTCCCCCAAGACTGGGAATGTGGCAAGATGTCCCTTCTCTCCACTCTCACCTAACATCGTACTAGAAGTTCTACCTGATGGAATAAGACAAGAAAAGGAAATAAAAAGAGGTATATTTTGGAAAGAAAGAAAGAAAATCGCCTTGGTTGCAGATGACTGACTATGTAGAAAATCTCAAAGAATCTATTTAAAAAAAAAAAACTCCTGGAACGAAGAAGTCATCGTAGCAAGGCTGCTATAAGTAAGGTTAATATACAGAAGCCGAACGCTTTCCCGCATACTAGCAATAAGCAATGGAAAACTGAAGTTAAGAATGTGAGACCATTTATATTAACGCAAAAATGGAGATACCTGCGTATAAATCTTACGAAATGTGTGTATGATCTGTATTAGGAGAAATAGAAAACTCTGATAAAATCAAGAACTAAACAAATAGTTGTCTCATGAACATGAATGGGAAGAATCAATATTGTTAAGACGTCAGTTCTTCCCAACTGGATCTACAGATTGAATGCAATTGCAATACAGAAATCCCAGCACCAGGATGGTGATCATGGAAGCTGGAATCCACCAAGGAGTGTGTAACGACTCACCTGCTGGGGAAAAAAAAAAAAAGAAATCCCAGCAAATTACTGGATGGATAATAACAAAATGATTCTAAAGTTTATGTGGAAAGGCAAAAGATCCAAAATATCCAACACAATATTAAAGAAGAACAAAGGTGGAAAAACTGACACTACCTGACCTTAAGACTTACTATAGCTGGCGCGGTGGCTCACGCCTGTAATCCCAGCACTTTGGGAGGCCGAGGCGGGTGGATCATGAGGTCAAGAGATCGAGACCATCCTGGTCAAAATGGTGAAACCCCGTCTCTACTAAAAATACAAAAAATTAGCTGGGCATGGTGGTGCATGCCTGTAATCCCAGCTACTCGGGAGGCTGAGGCAGGAGAACTGCCTGAACCCAGGAGGCGGAGGTTGCGGTGAGCCGAGATTGCGCCATTGCACTCCAGTCTGGGTAACAAGAGCGAAATTCCGTCTCAAAAAAAAAAAAAGAAAGAAAATGAAAAGAGGTTGGGAGCTGTGGCTCTTGCCTGTAATCCCAGCACTCTGGGAGGCTGAAGTGGGCAGGTCACCTGAGGTCAGGCGTTCAAGACCAGCCTGGCCAACATGGCAAAACCCCTTCTCTACTAAAAATACAAAAATTGGCTGGGCGTGGTGGCGGGCAGATATAATCCCAGATACTCAAGAGGCTGAGGCAGGAGAATAGCTTGGAAGGTGGAGGTTGCAGTGAGCTGAGATCGCGCCATTGCACTCCAGCCTGGATGACAAGAGTGAAACTCCGTCATCCGGTGGGCAAAAGCTCTGAACAAACTCCTCAACAAAAAAGAAATACCGATGGTAAACAGACAAATGAAAAGCTGTTCAGCATGTCCATACCCCTAGGAAATTGCAAATTACAACAAAAAATGAGATACCATTACACACCTATAGAACAGCTGGAATCCAAAACACTGACAACATCAAATGACAGCAAGAATGTGAAGCTGCAGGCTTTCCATTGATTGCTGGTGGGAACGCAAGAGGGAAAAAGCCGCTTTGTGAGGACAAACTGGGTCGTCTTTTCAAAGCTAAACACAGTCTTGCCATATGATCCAGTAATCATATTTACCCAAATGAGCTGAACAATATGTCCACACAAAAACCTGCACATGAAATGTTCATAGTTTTACTCATAATTATCAAAAATCAGAAAAAAATCAAGATGTACTTCAGCAGGTGAATAGATAACCTGGTACACTCATACCAGGGAATATTATTCAGTGATGAAAAGAAATGAGCTATCAAGCTATGAAAGAAATAAGCTATCAAGCCACGAACAGACACGAAAGAAAACCTAAATGTGTGTTGCTAAGTGAAGAAACCAGTCTGAAAAGGCTACAAACTATATAATTGCAAGCTGTGTAATCTGGAAAAGGCAAAAATTATAGAGAAGTAAAAGATATTGGTGGTTGTGAATCCCTTCTAAACGAAAAATGGCAGTGGTTTCCAGGGGCTGGCGGGGAGGAGGAATGAACAGTAAAGTCTTGGGGGTTTTTAGGGAAGTGTTCCGGTGTACTTTAATGGTGGATACACAGCATTACACATTTAGCCAAACTTGTAGACCTGTAGAACCCAAAGCAGTGAACGCTGGCCAGGTGTGGTGACTCACAGCTGTGATGTCAACACTCTAGGAAGCCAAGGTGGGAAGACCACTTGAGGCCAGGAGCTTGAGATCAGCCTGGTAACACAGCAAGACCGTATCTCTACAAAAAATTTTTTTTAAATTAGCCAGGCATGGTAGCACGTGCCTGTGTTCCCAGCTACTCAGGAGTCTGAGGTGGGAGGACTGCTTGAGTCCAGGGGTTCCAGGCTGCAGTGGGCCATGATCACAGCACTGCACTCCAGCCTGGGTGACCAAATGAGACCCTGTCTCAAAACAACAACAAATGAACCTGAATGTAAACTATAAACTTTAGGTAGTAACAACATATCAGTATAGTTGTATCAATGATAACAAACGTACCACGCCAATGCCATGTGGAAGATGTTAACGACAGAGAAAACGGGAATATGGAAGGAATAAAGGAACTGTTTTCTGTTCAATGTTTCCATAAATCTGCTTTAAGTCTATTAATTTTTTTTTTTTTTTTTAAGTAAGGGCTAGGCCGGGAACGGTAGCTCATGCCTGTAATCGCAGGACTTTGGGAGGCCTAGGTGGGCGGATCACGTGAGGTCAGGAGTTCGAAACCAGCCTGGCCATCTCTACTAAAAATACAAAACTTAGCCAGGCGTGGTGGCGGCGGCCTGTGATCCCAGCTACTCGAGGGCCCGAGGCAGGAGAATCGCTTGAACCCGGAGGCAGAGGTTTGCAGCGAGCCGAGATCGCGCCACTGCACTCCAGTCTGGGCGACAGTGAGACTCCGTCCTCAAAACAAAGAAAAAGTAAAGGCTAGAGCTGCACGGAAAGAACCCTCGGCCCAGGCAGGACTCGGAGCAGGGAGCGCAGGGCGGGAAGGGCGGCAGCCGCGCAGGCTCCCGCGAGGAGGCGAGACCCTGAGGGCTGCCGAGTGCACGGGGATCGGCGGGGAGAGACCGGGCCCTGCTCTTCTCTTTCCCTCGCCTTCTCTTTCTGCTTTTACTGTGTTCTTTCCGAGTATTCTCAACAACAGGCCGGGGGCCTGGACGTGCGGCGGAGACGCCCGCGGACGCCTGCCGACGGCTTCGGGGTGGGGCCGCGGGGAAGAGCCGGTTCCCGGGCTGGAGTCTGCGGCCGGAGAGGAGCTCCCTCCGGCGAGTCCGCAGTCCTGCGGGCACAGGCGGCGCGCTCGGGCCCGCGCTCCCGGCAGCTCGGGCTCCCCCGGCCCGGACCCGCCGTCCCCCGCACTCACCGCGGTCTCTCTCCGCCTCTCCCTGCCGCGGCGACGCCCCTTCTTCCGGACGCCGGCACGCGCTGCCCCGGCAACCGTCACCAGGGAAACCAGTGTCGTCACTCGGGCGTCGTCGCTGCGTCTTACGTCACGCGTCTTACGTCCGCGCGTCTCTACGGGGGCCGAGGGGCGCCAAGAGTTCTGAAACTGACAGGGGCGCGGACGGCGCGCGGGGCAGGGTCCCGGTGGGCAGCGTCCCGAGTACGCGGGAGATATTTCAAAGGGTTGTGGGCCAAACGTTGTGCACAGAGACGTGCGTTCCGCCGACTGCTCGGAGTTCAAAAGCGAACGATCGCACCGGGAAACCGGCGGAGGAAGGGCCGTGCCGCGCCGCTGCGGGGAGGAGGCGGGACGCGGTGCCCGCGAGGTGAAGCGACGATGCCACGAGACCGAGGTGCAGACGAGGGCAGCTCCGTTTGCGCGGTGCAGTCGCGGGGCTGCGCTTTCGTTTTTACGCTTTAGAGGATTTTTAAAAATAATGAACATCGTTTATTTTCATAGAGGAAAACACTTGTATATACATTTTTAATGGCACCTTCCAATTTAAGACACTGCCATGTTTCAGGACTATGTGGGGGTGGGAGGCAGATTTCTAGGAAAGATGATTCAAGGGCGTTTTCCGATGAATTTATTCCGAGACGGAGTCTCGCTCTGTGGCCCAGGCTGGAACGCAGTGGCGCGACCTCGGCTCGCTGCGACCTCCGCCTCCCGGGTTCAAGGCAATTCTCCTGCCTCAGCCTCCCGAGTAGCTGAGACTATTCGGCTAATTTTTTAAAAATTTTTAGTAGGGACGGAGATTCACCATGTTGGACCAGGCTGGTCTTGAACTCCTGACCTCAGGCGATCCCCCTGCCTCGACCTCCCAAAGTGCTGGGATTACAAGTGTGAGCCATGGCACCTGGCCAAATATTTATACTGGCCTTCATTAATTTGAAAATCTTGATAGTTGTTTTTCTGTTTTTGTTTTGTTTTGTTTTTTCCTCATACGGTGAATGAATGCCCACCCCCATAGACACGCATACATGAAGATATGGCGCTAGACAAGCCGTCAGCACTGCGGGTGTAAACTCAGAGTTTTCTGATAAGGGAAAAAACAGGTCTTTCCCGTTGGTGTCCAGCTGCTGCTCGGTGAGCTGAGGGCAGCAATTGGACAGAACTATAAATCTGCAGATGGTAGCAGAGACAGCATAAAGAGCAGGAGTCAGTATAGGTGAGCCTCAAAGGATTAGGGTCTTATACGGTGTGTGTAGTGGGGAGTATCACTTGTTTACCGCATGACCACGAGGGGACTGTGTGGGATAGGAAAAAGGAACAGCCATGTCTACTTAGAGGGCTTCTGGGAAGCATGGTTCCCAGCAGAAAGCCAGGTTTCCATTAAAATAAGAACATGCTGTGAGAAAGTTTCAGGACGCAGGAGAATTTCAGAACAGACGAGTTGGAAATGTTCATTAGAAAGTCTGGGAATGGGGGCAATATTTACTCCAGCCATTCAAGGATTATTTTTGACGAGGATATCATTCTTGCAGTAACCCATTTTTTTCAAAACCAGGGATGATTTTCCTCTAGGTGTGTTACTTTTCCACTGTCGCCACTAAGGCTCTCACGCCATTTTTTTTTTCTGCCCAAAATTCTCTTGAGAATTTTCTTTAGTTTGTAAGCTCGACATTTTGTCATCCAAGAAGCTGGATAATCCAACCCGGGTCACCGGTATTTCCTCACGTAGAGTGCACCGGTGCTTGTTCATTCCGGCCCCCTTTGTTTCTCTGACCAGAAGTATCTGTAGGACACTGCTCTTTGTATTTTGTTTGCTTTTTTTATTATTATTATTATTTTTAGACGGAGTTTCCCTCTTGTTACCCAGGCTGGAGTGCAATGGCGCGATCTCGGCTCACCGCAACCTCCGCCTCCTGAGTTCAGGCAGTTCTCCTGCCTCAGCCTCCTGAGTAGCTGGGATTACAGGCACGCGCCACCATGCCTAGCTATTGTTTTGTATTTTTAGTAGAGACAGGGTTTCACCATGGTGACCAGGATGGTCTCGATCTCTTTGACCTCGTGATCCACCCGTCTCGGCCTCCAAAAGTGCTGGGATTACAGGCTTGAGCCACCGCCCGGCTTGCTTTTTAATTTGAAATTGTATTGAAGCCGGGCGCGGTGGCTCAAGCCTGTAATCCCAGCACTTTGGGAGGCTGAGGCGGGTGGATCACGAGGTCGACAGATCGAGACCATCCTGGTCAACATGGTGAAACCCCGTCTCTACTAAAGATACAAAAAATTAGCTGGGCATGGTGGCACGTGCCTGTAATCCCAGCTACTCAGGAGGCTGAGGCAGGAGAATTGCCTGAGCCCAGGAGGCGGAGGTTGCGGTGAGCCGAGATCGCGCCATTGCACTCCAGCATGGGTAAAAAGAGCGAAACTCCGTCTCAAAAAAAAAAAAAAAAAAAAAGAAATTGTATTGAGATTATTATAGAATCACATGCAATTGTAAGAAATAATAGAGATCCCATGTATACTCTTCCAGTTCCCCACAGTGGTAATATTTTGCAGAACTTAAGTATAATGTCATAACCAGGATATTGACATCGATACAACCTACTCCTTTTATTTAGATTTATCCAAGTTAACTGTACTTTTCTTTCATCATGTGTTGGTTTGTGTATCCACGACCATCAAGATACTAGATACTGGCCGGGCACAGTAGCTCATCCACACCTATAATGCCAGCATTTTGGATGTCGAGGTGGGCAGATCACTTGAGGCCAGGAGTTCAAGACCAGCCTGGCCAAGATAGTGAAACCCTGTCTCTAGTAAAAATAATAAAAATTAGCCAGGCATGGTGGTGGACACCTGTAATCCCTGTTACTCGGGAGGCTGAGGCATGAGAATCACTTGACCTCAGGAGGTGGAGGTTGTAGTGAGCTGAGATTGTACCACTGCACTCCAGCCTGAGGGACAGAGTGAGACTCTGTCTCAAAAAAAAAAAAAAAAAAAAAAAAAAAAAAAAAAAAAAAAAGATACCAAATACTGTCACAAGGATATCTCTATTGTCCTTTTATAGCTATGAATACCTCGCTCCTTCCTCCTTCCCTAGTCCCTAACCCTTTATAACCACATCGGTCCGCCATTTCCAAAATGTTGTCATTTCAAAAATGTTATATAAATGAAATAATGCAGCGTGTAGACTTTTCAGGATTTTTTTTTTTTAACTCAGAATAGTTCCTTGGAGATTCATCCAAGTTGTTATATGTCAATTATCTGTTCCTTTTTACTGCTGAGTAGCTCTAGTGTGAATGTACCAGTTTGTTTAACCATTTACCCACTGAAGGACATCCGGGTTGTCTCCAGTTAGGAGCAATGATGATTCAGCTGTTACATTCACGTGTAGGTTTTTGTGTGAGCATGTTTTCATTCTGTGGAGGCGTGTAATTGCTGTGTAGTACAGTAACTGCGTATCTGGTTTTGGAAGAAATCGCCAAAGCTGTTTTCCAGACTGTTCCACTTTTGCGTTCTTACCAGCAATGCTTGAGTGATCCAGTTTCTCCGCCGCCTCGCCAACGTTTGGTGTTGTCACTATTTCTTCGTTATTTTAATAGGTGCACAGTGATACCTCATTGTGGTTCTCATGTACATGACTAATATTGAACACTCTTTTTCACGTGCTTGTCATCTGTCTATTTCCTTTGGTGAAGTGTCTGTTCATCTCTTTTGCTCAATTTCTAACTGTCGAGTTTTGAGAATTCTTCATATATTCTATATACTAGTACTTTCTTGGATACATGGTTTGCAAACACTTTCTCTGAATCTGAGTTTGTCTTTTAATCCTCTTCACTTGAGCTTTCACAGAACAAAAGGCTTTTTGACAGGGTCCAATTTGTCAATTCCTTCTTTTATGGATTGTGCTTTTGATGTGAAATCTTAAGAATTCTTTGCCAGGCCGGGCGCGGTGGCTCAACCCTGTAATCCCAGCACTTTGGGAGGCCGAGGCGGGTGGATCACAAGGTCAAGAGATCGAGACCATTCTGGTCAACATGGTGAAACCCCGTCTCTACTAAAAATACAAAAAAAAAATTAGCTGGGCATGGTGGTGCGTGCCTGTAGTCCCAGCTACTCAGGAGGCTGAGGCAGGAGAATTGCCTGAACCCAGGAGGCGGAGGTTGCGGTGAGCCGAGATCGCGCCATTGCACTCCAGCCTGGGTAACAAGAGCGAAACTCCGTCTCAAAAAAAAAAAAAAAAAAAAAAAAAAAGAATTCTTTGCCTAGCCCTGGGTCCAAAAGATTTCCCAACATTTTTATGAAAGTGTTAGTGTTTTATGCCCATGACTTATTTTGATGTGATTTTTATATAAGGTGTGAAGTTTAGGTCAAAGTGCTTTTTTGCCTTTTCGCCTGTGATGTCCAGTTGGTCCAGGACCATTTGTTGGAAGGCTCTGCTTCCTCCATTGAATTGCTTTTGCACTTTTCTCAAAAACCAGATGAGCTAACTCAGCATGAAACCCAATTCAAAAATGGGCAAAGGAATTCAATAGACATTAATCCAAAGAAGATATACACATGACAGATAAGCCCATGATAACAGGCCCAACATCACCAGCCGTTAGAGAAATGCACACCAAAACTACAATGAGATACACGTCACACTCATTAGGATGGATATTATCCAAAAAATGGAAAATAGCAAGTGTTTGCCAGGATGTGAAGAATTCGGAACCCTTATGCATGGCTGGTGGGAATGTAAAATGGTATATCCACTGTAGAAAACAGTTTGGCGGTTTCTCAAAAAGTTAAACATTGAATTGCCATATGATTTACAATTCCACTTCTAAGCATATGCCCAAAAGATTTGAAGGAAGGGAGCTGGGCGCAGTGGCTCACACCTGTAATCCCAACATTCTGGGAGGCCAGGGTGGGTGGATCACCCGAAATCAGGAGTTCCAGACCAGCCTGGCCAATATGGCGAAACCCCACCTCTACTGAAAAAAACACAAAAATTAGCCGGGCGTGGTGGCAGGTGCCTATAATCCCAGCTACTCGGAAGGCTGAGGTAAGA